CATACATTCACACATTCATCATATAATACGCATTTCTTTTGGAAGATGATTCCAAATTAAGGGGGCAAATGATGAAAAAGCTCTTCCATCTTCATTGATACTTGCAAAACAGTTCACGAACAAATTAAATTTTCAGAAAAGTCAACAAAATTTACAGCATTTTAAATCAATTCTAAATTTTTTTTTTAACTTGAAGTAGAAACCATGATCCTCCAACAATTGTTTAAATCAAACTCCATACACCCTTGGACAATGTTTAGACACTGTAACTTAAAATATATTATTTTTAAGTACATGTACATTGTGAGCAAAATCAGCCTTTACACTGACATTTCAGATCGTCCAAATAGGCCTATTAGGAATACTGCGTAAGGCACTAATATAGTGATAAGGCTGCAGGATGTGTGAGAACCTATACGCTCTGGCCGTCTAAGTGAAAACATATTACGTCTTTGGTATGATATGGTGTATGTTATATATAATTTTATATACATAAATGTATATATATACATATATATATTATATATATTAATGTGTGTATATATATAACATTTGTGTGTTGTTGTTGTTGTTGTTGTTGTTGTTGTTGTTGTTGTTGTTGTTGTTGTTGTTGTTGCTGTTGTTGTTGTTGTTGTTACGTCTACATGTATTATGTGTATTTCTTTTTTTTTTTAAGACACGCCATAGAGACAAATCAACTCACTCCCCAAGGAAAGCTGTGTTACGAGAGGAATAGCGTTGAACTGTTTGTCTGTGATCGCATTTGCAAAAACACTTTCCACCACGCTCCTGACCAGAGTTGAGGTTTGGGGAAGGACCAGGAAAAGGTACTGGTTGCCGTAGAAAAACGGGTTTCGAGGACCACGGTACTCCACCACTTCCTGAAAGTTAATTAGTTGTTTGTAAGTTAGGAAAGGGGACTAAAGAGAATAACTGTTGATATCTCGCTACGAAGATACAACTATTTCTGTAACTTCAAAGATGATAATGATAATGATAATGATAGCCATAATCATAAAGAATAACGATGATCACAATGTTGATCATAATAATCATAATCATTTAAATAACAACAATAATAATGATAATAATAATGATAATAATAATAATAATAATAATAATAATAATAATAATAATAATAATAATAACAATGATGATGATGATGATGATGATGATGATGATGATGATGATGATGATGATGATGATGATGATGATGATGATGATGATGATAATAATAATAATAATGATAATAATGATAATAATAATAATAATAATAATAATAATAATAATAATAATAATAATAATAATAATAATAATAATAATAAAAATGATAACAATTTCTGATTATTTTCCTTTATCATTCATTGTTAAAATTAACAGAATCGCTTAATTTCACAGTTTTGGGCTCAGTTTACATAATTTCATAATTTTTCTTGCAGTTAAAAGACACTTTGTCCTACCTCCCCAGTGGCCAGCGTGCCATTGACAGCGTTGATGTACAGTCCATGCAGCGCGAAGCTCCCGACGTCCCACACCACAACGGTGTACAATGTACCACTAGCAGACGTCCACGTGACCTCGGGGGTGTAGGCGAGAGACCTCTGGCTGGTACTGGACAAGGACAACGGGTCTACTCTTTGATCGTTCACAGCTGGCACCTTGAATGAGTGACCACACGCGAACACCGTTTCTGAAAGCAAAGGACGACAAGATTATTGACCTGGTACCTGGATACCTGGAGGTGTCATCTCTGACTCAGAGGTTGACTTGTAATGACCCCCCATCCTTCACGGTCGCGAACTTTCGTTGCACATTCTGCCATATCCAAGCTAGTTAGTCCATTTTCTTATATTGTCTTTTCATGTTATTTTGCCTTCCTCTGGCTCTCCTGCCCCACATCTTTCCTTCAAGCATCTCTTTCACAATGGCCTCGTGTCGTTTTAAGGATTATTAACCATACAACTCAAAAGATTTCAAGATGAAAAGGCAGGGATAGACGACGTAAAACTTGGCAGGATGGCGTTAAAGAGTTCTTCCAGAAGAAAAACATAATATATACGCAATAGAAGCCACCCACCAATATCTTAATCGAACATTGCACCTCCCTTGGACATTTAACTGTACAAAGGAAGGACAAAGTAAAGCAATTTTTATACTTGACAAAAGTCTATCAATCTATCTATCTATCTATCTATCTATCTATCTATCTATCTATCTATCTATCTATCTATCTATCTATCTATCTATCTATCTATCTATCTGTCTGTCTATTTATCTATCTATCTATCTATCTATCTATCTATCTATCTATCTATCTATCTATCCCGTTCTCACTCTCTCTGAGTTTCTCTCTCTCTCTCTCTCTCTCTCTCTCTCTCTCTCTCTCTCTCTCTCTCTCTCTCTCTCTCTCTCTCTCTGTCTCTCTCTGTCTATGTCTCTCTGTCTCTGTCTGTGTGTGTGTGTGTCTGTTCTTCCCCCTCTCCTTCTTTCTCTCTCTCATCTCTCTCGCCTTCTCTCTCTCTCTCTCTCTCTCTCTCTCTCTCTCTCTCTCTTTCTCTATCTCTCTTCTGCACTCGATCTTTGTGTACAACACTCAGTCAACTGTTTGCAAACGTAGAAACAACAGAAGAAATACATTTGGCAGATCCCACTAGATGCGAGAAGAGACAATCATTTTAATATAGGCGTACAATTTAAAATAATTTCGAAACTAAGATCTTTTTCTCGTTAGGGAAACAAAAATAACCCACAGCTATTATGACATACAAACTTTGCTACGTCAGAATTAAAACGTTCTCTCTGCTCAGTATTTAGTTTTTAGGAAACTAAAGATTACGAGTTTCACATCATCTCAAGATATTTTAAATGCAATTCTTTGAACATTTTGATAATAACTCAGAAGAATCTTATGACTTGTATAGAACTGATAGATCAATTGGTTTCAGATTTCATGGTCTTAGAAACTCAAAAACGGCCCAAAATGTGAGTTATAACTTTGTTATTCTAAGGAGGGTAGCGGTTACAGATCGTGCACACCGATTGTCATTTACAAATACCATTTAAAATAAAATAAGAATAAGACCCCCCAAAAAAACTAAAACAAAAACAAAAAAGCAAAAAACAAAAAAGCAAAAACAACAATAGGCTTATATTGTACTGTCCAACATAAGCTACATAAACAAGGGGCTGTTTCAACTAAAGCTATTTCACTTCTAACACATAACAACAACACACTATTCGTAATAGATACTCATATAATAAATAACTATCTGAAGTTATAATTAAATA